AGTATGAGAAAAAGGACTCAAGAACTGACCACTATCCTTGGAAAGGTTGCTGAGAAGTTCCTCAATTCCTTCTTTGCCCAGAGTATCCTTCAGATACATAGCAGCAGATACAACCTCCTCAGGTGTCACTTTCCCATCATAATCTCTGCCAGAACATGACTAGACATTTGAATGACATATATTTCCAACAATTAGTCATAAAGATTATAAGGGAAAAGGAGTAAACAACAATCAGTCCTAAACGAATTAAATACTTGGACGGATTCATTTCCAGCCAGAGGAAAGACCAAAGTTCTGGTAGTGGTTAATTCATAAAAATAAAAAACAGAGAGAAAAAGAAATCTCAAGTAATGGATTCAATTGTGGGTATGTTAGTAGTACTTGTTAAATAGAACATGAAAATATTTCATTATCAGTTAAAATGAAGGTGAAATAGGATTTGGAAAATCTTGTGGATATTTTAATTAGTAGATATTTTATAGATTGTAAATGTAGATCACAATTTTTGTAACTTTTTCATCCCCAAAATAAACGAAGTTGCGGGCAACTAATGCTCTAAAACAAGCTCCAACCTTGCAAGTCTATATTACTGAGGGAATGAGTACAGTGAATATTGGAGATTATAACAGGGGCAGATGGATCAAAGATCTGCTTGCAAAGTAAATTTCAGAATATATTCTTCCAAGAATTGAGATATCATCTGGGTGTTGAGATTGCTAAATACTACCATGAACTTTATATCAAAGAGAAAGCTTGATTAGCTAAACGAAACAGCCAAATTGACACCCAATAGATATCCTAATAGCAGATAAATCTGTAATTGATATAACTGTTATGTACCCCATGCCAATTGAATATTGATAGGTAAGTTGAATTATTTACAATAACTAGTTGTAATCATAGTTGTGAGTCGGTTCTTAAGATTTCCTCAGAACAGGTCACTAATTAAAAATAATAGAAATTATTGTATCACAGGTTCTTCCATATAACAATGAAAAGGTCCCCCCTCCCCGTCATGGTGTCCTTTTCTGGATTCTGCCATTGAGCATGGCTAATTTCCATTTAGAAAATACCATATTTAAATATTCATAATTTGCATAAAGAAAATAGAAGCAATTAAACATGGTTTCAAATTATAGAACATAGCATTTAATGCTCTCTCAAGCAAAAATGTAACTAAGAAAAACCTGTCTAGCAACCGCCATCGGTCTCCAATTTTATAATCAACATCATCAATTTCTTTTTCAAGTGTCTGGAGCATAGTATCAACCTGAAAAACAAATGAAATTTCGATTGCTGTTAGCTATTTCCAGTTTCAGAATATAAATTCAGCTAATGATCAACGGATGATCTGATTTGTTATTGTTTTTCAATTATAAAGTGGCATCAAAAGAAACAAGAGGTCAAAGAATTACCCTGTCAACAAGTGCTGAAGAAACCTTGTCACTAATAGCTGCCTCAATAGCACCATCACTTTCCTTCCTGGCAGCTTGATAGGCTTTCTTAGCTTCCTGTTCATATTCAGTACCTTCTCTGCCTACCATACTATCATAAAGCTCCATCTGTAAAGTGGTAGGATAGAATTGATTTTATATGTAATAGAGGCTGGACATGATGAATAGCTAGTTGGTTTAAGAAAACATTTTCTGTTTCAATTTCTTTTTTCCACAAAATGTTGTTTTCATCAATTCCTCTTTAAATCTCTGCAAACAAGAAATAAAGTGCAAGCAGGGTGGTTTTTCTATAAGTGTTAAAAAAACAGAAAATATTTTCTCAAAGCCCTTAGAAAATGAGACTTAATGCGTGGGCTGGGCTTATCCTCATAAGCCTACCTTATGTGTGTAAACACAGATACTAGAAGGCGAACCAGTCATATTAGAGACTAGAATTTTCAGCAAAGTCTCTCTCACACACAGTACAAAGCTAGAGAACACATTTTGAAAATATTTTTATCAAAAACAACAATAGAAATGACAAGTTTAAGAACTAAATTTCAATTACTGAAATTTTTTGTTGCAAAAAAATAGTGACATGTTAAATTTTAAGCTTCTGACAGAATGTGTTTAAACCAGCAAATTTTTTTAACAAATCAATGTTAAATAAATAATCCAAATGCAGAGGCATATTAATTTACATCCAAAAGGGAGAGTCACACACACAATACTAGAATCTAGAAAGAAATTTCCATTTGACTTTTCTTTGATTGCCTGGAAAATATTCACTATGCAATATCCAGTCGCAAAAATGTGTCGATTCTATAATCTATATACCTCCTTTCTAACGAGCCTCAAAAATTCTTCACGTTCCCTGCTCACTGACTGAAAAATTAGCAGACAAATGAACGAGTTCAAGCCTTCATCAGTAAATAAACAAAGTCTGGCAAAAACAATAATGTTCTAGTTCCACTCCTTACAGATGCTGAAGCCAAAACAGCTAATGCACGACTGAGCTCCCAGAGCTGCTCCTGTTTATTCAATGTCTTTGTTTTTTCCTTTCCTTGTGTTTGTTTGATTGTTGAAGCACTCTCTTTTGTAGCCAAATCCCTTTCACTACCAACTGATTCCTTCATTTTGGCCTGTACTGCCTCCTCTTTCTTTTCCTCCTCCTATTAATATTTGGCACCCATCAATCTCAAATTAAAGCAACAAGTACACCAATAGCCTAGCAACTTCAACAAGAAAAACAGTATTTATGGTGATTTATATATAATGTTATTTGGATGACAACCATTGAAAAATTCTTACATAATTGATTACAATATGCTCCAAAAAAATGCAATAGAAAAGGAAATACTCTAATAAAAATACATATTTTATTTATAGATGACTCATGCATGTTTTCACAATAAATTTATCTTTATCTCTTTCTTCCTTGCAAGTAGACTTCATCATACATGCAAGTAGCATAAATGAGTTATTTATTTATATTTGAATATTATGTTCCTCCTACTAATTATCCACAAAATTACAGTGAAATGAAGCAACGCTTTTAACATAAAACTAGACAGTTAACCCATGCATATAGAGAAAAAGAGTAAGAAGAAAAAAAATAAAGTCCTCAGGACACTGCAGGTTGACATGTGGTTATATCTGGATAGTTTTTATGACATTATTCATGATATTAATAGGTACAAATGAAGGATAGCTTTTAACAAGGCTACTTTAAAATTATGAGGGAGAAAATCAACAATCTATGGCTCCCTCCCAGAACATATATATCCCTAATAACAAAATACATAATGCAAAAAATCAACCTTGATTAGCTCCTCTTGCATTTCAAGGAATTCCAACTTCCTTTTCCTTTCTGAAACAGAATCTTCAGACGGCAAAGTTGTCACCCCAACAGTATCTACAACCTCATCTGGCAGAGAAGAGAGTGTAGCTTGAACAGCTTCCTCTGGTCTGATCTTTCCTGAAACAGAAAATGCTCTGCAGAGGGAATGAGATGACCCCACCTTTCCAGAAAATCCTTAAAAAAAGGTAATATTTTAACAGAGAAACATTAAGATACCTGGAAAGAATTAAGAGGGAAGATGGCACAGAATGGTTGAGAGACAAATCCAGCCAGTCCTTAAGCTGCAAAGAAATATAACAATATACATCCCCCAGACATCAGATTTGTTTCGACCAAACAACCCAGTGAAGGCTGCTTTTATTCAGCATTAAGAAATGTCTTCCAACTATATCATGTAAATATTATGTTAGCCTACTTTCTTTTATACCTATTCATTTTGGAAACATTAGATCTTATGAACTATCCTAATACAACATTCTTTCCCAATCCAATTTGGTGGTAGCTTTCTCCATTCCTTTCGCATTTAAGAGATACATCTATAATTATTTGTTTTTGACATTTTGTGATGAATCCAACACAATAGCATTCAAGAGTCTTGAGATTTGGTTTGAGATATATCTGACATGTGTGGACAGTAGATCAGATGGAGGGTAGCCCTATTGCTAGAGGAAAATTGAGAAAAAATGTTGGAGAAACCATTAAGAAGGATTTAGAGGTCAATGGTTAGTCTACAGACATAATTCATGATAGTGTTATGGTATTGTTTGATCCATGTAGCAGAAAACACCAAGGGGGCAAAAGTTTGGCTGTTATTGTTGTTCTCAAAGTAGCAATTATGAAAAGATAAAGGTTCTGACTTCTGAAAGTAGGAAGTATGACCAATTCATTGTTCACAAAAATTGCCAACGTTGTAAATTAACACAAAGTTAGAGAGTTCATAATTGAGCTTCAGCACCACCAAATTCCACTTAAACATTTATGATTAACCTGCTGCCGCATTTCTTCTACTGAAAGTAATCCAAGTAATCCTCGATCTCTGCAAGCTTGACGAAGCTCTGCTTCTGAAAGAGATTCCAGACCTTCGGCTTGAATCATTAGATCATCGTTCTTGATCCTGCCAAAGGCAAACAGTTTACATCTATTGACCCTCAAAACACTAATGAGGCTATCGACTGAATATGGCAAATTTAGTTCAAGAAATATGGTAGTTTTGAAAGCACAAAACTCTAAGTGTGGTGTGCTCTGTGCAGTGTCAAGCAGAAATTCCCTTTTTCCCTTTCTTTTCTTCATTCCTAGGAAGGGCCTTTTGTTTTTCTTTTTGCATTTTGTTGGAAAGTTGTGTTAGCATGAATTGAACATCATATGGTAAAACTTGCACTATTTGTATTGTACATGTGCTTGACCTTAATTCATTAGTATAAATACATATACAGAGACCCTAACAGGTATGAGGTAAATGCATCCCCTTCACAAATTCTTCTCCTTTCGAATTTTCCCTTCCTCTTGATGTTCTTTTTCATGGTATCAAGAACTACATTCTGAACCTAGGTTGGAAATATAGATCCACATCTGGTTTCCCAAAAAAATCCTATTCTACACAAAACTGATCCATCCCTTTCTAGTTTCTTCTTAGTAATTGGTCAATTGTTGAGCACTGATGCGTGCAATTTGTGTCTCTTTCCACCTTTCAAGTGGAACTCTGTATTGACATGTGCACCACCCCCCCCCCC